ACCATAGAAGAAACAGGGGAAGAAGAAATGGTTGCTGTCGTGCACAAGGGAAAGTTCTGATCATGATAGCAGACGCACGAAGGAGGAAGAGGTCACACAGAGAAGGAGGAGGAAAGGAACAATCTCGTCCGGCCCTTGACCACGTCACTGGTGATGACAGCAATGCGACACAGCAGGATGACAATCACAGCAAAGGCACGAACAGAGAAGGAGATGCAAGGAACAAAAGGGAGGTAAGGATTTATGGCATACTCATGTCACCGGCGACGACAGCAAAAGCGGGAGGGCGATGAATCGAGATCGCAAGGCAGAGGTTTTAGGTCGGTGAAAAAGAAAGAATGGAGATAGAAGGACGAGATCCTGAAGCTTCTCCCTCCCTCTACCAATTCTGATATTCAAATAGCCGAGGAAAGGAAAAAAATCTTGTCAAAAGAAAGAATTGAGAAAATTATAAGAAAGGATCGAAATTTTTTTTATTATAACATAAAAGACAAAGGCATTTTTTTTCCTATCATTCTCTCATAATTAACACAAAATAAAAATAACCTTTTCTTAGTGAGATTCGAACTCTAGACTTCTAGGTAGGCAACTTACATAGTTTTTATTGGATCATTACTAAAGGTGTTTAAAATCGATTCAAATCAAAAGGACCAACCCAAATTAACCCAAACTGAAAGAAGCCAACCAAAATTGAATAACAATAAAATTTGCTTTGATTTTTATAATATGAAAGCTGATTGATTCAGTTCAAGTTTCGATTTTGAGTACTAAAAATCGAACCGAATTGAACTAGACTTGATTGAAAAAAAATACTATTTATTTATTTATTTATAAAATATAAAACTATTTATCTACAAGAAGCATTTTGTTTTGAATTTTTTATAATAATATATGAACATTTTTAAGGACTTGAATGGAAATGCATAACATTAAATAATTATAATAATCATGCTATGACCATTATTTAATTATTTACAACTTGAAAGCCTCATGTATTTAATTTATCTACAAGAAGCATTTTGTTTTGAATTTTGTATAATAAGTTTTTCATTATTTATTAAAATATAAATATATAGATAAACATTTTTAAAGGACTTGAATGGAAATGCATGATATTAAATAATTTTAATCTTATAAATTAATATCAATTTTTATGATTAATTATTGTTAGCACATTGAAATTTTATTATATTTTTATATCTCTATTTATGAAAAAAAAAGCCACAAAGAATTAGATTTAATTTTAATACACTGCACCATAATGAAAATGGAAAAAAAAAATTAAATAAGTGCATCGAAACATGATTCAAACCTTAACCAAATTAAAAATAAAACCAAACCAAACCGAATCTATAAACACCCTTAGTCATTACTCTCCATTTACTATTAAAATAAAATAAATAAATACAATATTAAATGTGAGATATTTATTTATTTATTTATTTATTATTTTTTTAATTAAAATTTAGAGTCATTACACTAGTGTGACCCAAGTTCGCCCAACAAAAATGTTGAGAAACCTTACTTGAATCAATATATCTTGCAGCACTGAGACACAAGGATCAACAAACCTAGTTAGAGAAGAGATTTAATCTCTATCCTCCTTGGTTGGTGGAAGATATCCCCAATCTTTAATATAATGTTAATGAACTTTGCACAGAGTAAAACATACATACATACATACATACATACATACATACATACATACATATATATATATATATATTTGGTTACATTCTTAAAATTATTAAAAAAACATGCATCTTTTTAATTTTAAGTTTCTTTGCAAATTAACAATTACTCTCCATTTTTATTTATATGGTAGAGAGAAAAAAATTATTTCTCCTATTTATAAGTCATATTATTAATTTTTATAACAAATCTCTTTTATATTTTATTAAATGTTTGAGAAAGAAAACTTTTTATTACAATATATATATATATATATATATATATATTCAATAGGGGTAAAATTTATTAGAGGTGATGAACACCTGACGAGCACTGCAGACGATTTTATTTGATAATTGACGTTGAAATATTGATTATTATGCTTACGTGCAGGCAAGACCACCCTGGTCTACCAAGTATGTCACCATCGTAAAAAGGTGGTGGAAAGGTTTGCAGCACATCGAGCTTGGGTGGACGTGTCGCAAACTTATGAGATAAGGAACGCATTAAGGAAACTGATTCAACAACTCAAGTCTCAGAAGGATTTTGAGATGGGCAATACGGAGACACGGGATTTGATAGAAGAAGTGAGAAACTGTCTGCAAGAAAACCGGCGCTTGACAGATTTCGACGATGTCTGGGCCACCGGATTTTGGGACGAAATTAAGAAAATATTACCATCCGAGCAAAACGGAAGCAGTATAATAATCACGACCAGAAAGAATGAAGTGGAAAGCCATTGCAAGGGTCACACACACCTTACTAAACCCTTCGTCTGAAACATCTTGAACGCCAACAGGCCGAGGAACCTTTCACCAGAATTGCCTTCCATGGTGATGAATGCCCACAAGACTTGCGACTATTGTCTGATGAAATAATCGACAAATGCAAAGGGTTGCCACTGGCTATCACGACCATTGGGAGTCTTCTTTCAAAAACAAATATAGACAACGATGATGTCAGCACCAAGTGGCAAAATGTGCATAAAAACCTAAGTCGGCTCTTGGCTAATGATACTGATGCTGGCCGGGTGTTGAACACGGTCATGTCTGAAAGTTATTATGATCTTCCTTATCACCTCAAACGTTGCTTTCTCTGCTTGGGTGAATTTCCTGAAGACTACCCTATCAACTGCAACAGACTCATCCGTTTATGGATTGCAGTAGGGTTTGTCAAAGAAAACCCAGAGAGGCCGGAAGAAATCGGAAGGAAACACCTCCAAGAGCTGATAAACAGAAGCTTGATTCAGGTATGAATTAACACACGCAGCTCATTGTATTGTTGTCTTTCATGGTTTATAATTCCAAAATGTCTGATTTAGACATGGTTGTCGATCATGTTTTTTCTCAGGCTACAGTGGTTGATTGTGATGGCAAAGTTAGAAGTTGCAGAGTTCATGACATGATGCGCGGGTTCATCTTACAAAAGTTTGAAGAGATGAACTTCTGTCAACTTTTTGACGATGCTGGCAGCTCGGACTTAAACTCTTCAGACTCACCACGACGATCATCCATTCAAAAGGATTACAGAGAAAATGAGCTTCAAGGGGTTATTTCAGATCCTGGCAAGGTGAGATCTTGTATTTTGTCCAACATTAAAGGGATTTCAACAACTTTCATGACCAAGTTCAATCTTATAAGAATATTAGACTTCGATGCGACGCTCCAATTGATGCTCTTCCTGAACAAATCGGAGACTGACTGCTCTTGGAATATTTGAGTTTAAGAAACACAAAAGTCAAGACGCTTCCCGCATCCATTGGCAAGCTTCAGAATCTTCTTACTCTACACATCAAGAACTCTTGTGAACATAGGCTTTCAGGAGAAATAAACAAGCTTGCCAAGCTTCGTCAGCTTCTATGTTATTCCTTCCACGGTGGTGAAATTGATCTGGGCATGGCAGCTTTTTCTTACCGTGGACTGCAGATCATAAAAGGATTTGGGAAATTCAAGGATCTACAAATGCTATACTCTATCGATTGCTACCACGTGAATGCTTCCATATTTATAGAATTAAGAAAATTAAAGCAGCTAAAGAAGCTAGGTATCACCAGACTAAGACGTCATAATGGAAGAGATTTATACAGTAGAGTCTTTAACCGCCTTACCTCACTGTGGATAGGAGCAGTGGACGAGAATGAATTTCTAGAGCTAGACTCGTTAACCAACCCTCCAAGGCACCTTGAACGACTTTACTTGGAGGGTCGTTTGCAGAGCTTGCCAAAATGGATTCCCAGACTCAAAAAGCTAGTGAAGCTATGCTTTTACGGCTCAGGAATAACGGATGATCCTATAGATTCTGTTAAAAGACTTGAATGAGCTTTTGGACCTACGACTTCGCAAGGCTTATCAAGGTGGACCTACAACTTTTTGGAACTACATTTCCAAAAAGGGTGGCTAAGAAAGCTCAAGATTACGCCTCAAGAAGCTGGAGCACTTGAAAACATTGAAAATTGATGACAAGGCACTGCCACAGCTTGAGCAGCTATACGTTGGGCCTTGCCCTCAGATGGCTGAGGTGCCTGATGACATTCAGAATCTCAAAAAGTTACAGATTCTTCGTTTTTATGATATGCCTAATTCATTCACAGATAGCATCTTGCCAGGCCAGCGAAAGCACGATATCATCAAACACATACAAAGCGTGCAAACTTCACTTAAGAGGCAGCGAGTCAGCAGATACATCAAAAACTCTCTTCACTATGCTAATATCATGAAGAACATAGTAATATATAATAGCATGCTTGCAACATTTTTCTACTGATATTTATTGTTTAGAATATATAATAGCATGCTTGCAACGTTTTTCTACTGATATTTATTGTTTAGCCTGATCGGATTGAGTTATTTATCATTGATGCATGATGTTAATTATTCAGTATATATACGTCGTACAAAGAGATATTCAAAAACTTTTATTTGATAGACATATAGTTCCTTAAAAGAAGACACGCATGTTGGACATTGTTGATCGCTAATCTTGGTACTACCAGATGAAAGCAATAGTGACATGAAGAGAGAAAGCAGCGTGCTTGGCCTTGGCCTTTCAAATAATTAGCTAGTGATTCTGGTCTTGTTTTGAAGGTCGAGCAACCACATCCACGCGGCAAGACACCAGATTGGAGGTTTTGGGTTAATATAGCATCTTTGATGTCTGTTTTGGTCATCATGAGAGTACGAATGTAACTTGCCAAGCTTCACTCGTCATTGTTCTAAAGTTGTCACCCATTTAGTTTCTTTGGGTTGACGGCTTGACGCACATGTTGTCCCTTTCCCCATTGTGTCGTGTGAGTCTATGTATCACTATTCCATGTGGTGTGATTTCTATTTTCCAGCAGAAAATAAGCATTGCAGAGAAGCAAGCAACTTCGTTAGAGTAGGTGTCTTTTAGGTTTGCTGAGACAATATCTTCCTAAGCATGTGTCACTCCTTGAAAATAAGGAATGACCAGTACGAAATATGAAAACAAAACCTATATCTCGAAAGCCTTAACATAACGAACTCTAATTTCTAAACCACTAAGACATTTGAAAATAAATCGAACCATGTCCAATATGAATAATAAGAACAGAAGACTTAATGCTTTTGTAAAAACAATTTTTGATAGAATCTCCCCATAAAATAAGACTTCCTGAAAATTCTATGACGACATTCCTCAGTATAAAATAGCATCAACAAAGAGCTATGCTCCTTCTAATTGACAAATCATGTATAATATATATATATATATATATATATGAATGTCCTAACTATAATTTATGTGGAGCGTCTAAATAAAATATACAAAACATAAATTCAAAATTTTAAATTTTACATCCAAGCTGGTCAATAACTTCTTCACTTCACGTCAAAAGATAGCCCCTCAATAGTCAACTCGAAGTAGGTCAACTATAATATCCGAGACCAAAAATAATTTTTCAGTTAATAATGCCCCAATAATAAAAATTAAATGAATGCATGTGAACAATCTTAATGAATTTTATACACAATAAAAAAAAGAAAAAAATTCAATATAACACAATTACTTAAAATATTTCACATATTAAAATTCAAGATCAGCTAGCTTAAAATAAAATAACATAAATGAAATTAACACTTGCCTTTATCAAATTGAGTAGATCTATGAACAAAAATGTAGCAACATTTATAAATTAAAACCTCTAGAGAAAATATATATATATATATAAGTCAATTGTAAGTTCACCTTTTTTAGGACTTAACAAAACTAATAACAAATGTGGACACATAGTTCACAAGAATAAATAATTAAATGTCGCTTATGCCACGAAAATAAACGTGGACACACAATCTATAAGGGTAACTAACCAAACGTGGTCGAAACCACGAAACAAATTTAGACACATAGTTCACGAGGGTAATACTAACAAAACGCGGGTTAAAGCCACGAAAACAAACGCGAGTACGAGACCTACGAATAACAAACGTGAGAATAAAGCTCACGAAAATCAAACTAGCTAATCATTAACAATAGCGTGTCAAGGGCTAACGGAATTGTTATTAGCAATCACTGTTCTGTATAAAGTCCCATTGAAATTCATTTTTAAACATGCGAGAAAATCATCATTTTTAAAATAAAATTTTCTCTTTTCAATATCAAACTCGCATGAATTATTTGAAACATCAATCATTTTAAATATAAAAATTCACAACTAATATTTTATAAACTTTTTCACCAATTTCCATGATTGTCTTTGCTAAATAAAAGAGTATTAAAATTTACAAAAACATTTTTGTCAATCTTATAAATACATATCATGACAACTTCAAAAGTTAAAGAAATTTAATTAACAATAATAATCAATGTTAGGGAAACATATACTAATAACTGTAAATTGTTAAAAATAATATTCGATAAAAGGAAATTTATAAATTTATAAATTGATTGAGACATTATTCATTTACCTGCTGCATTCCCAAATTGATATAACTTACTCCTAATTAGCCTTCTAGCAACCATGCTTGGTCCTTAAGTCCCAATTACTCAAGGAGTACCATTGTCATTTTCTTATATGTATAATTTATAACCCAAAATCTACAGTCCAAAATTATTTAGGAAAACAGAAAAGAAAGCAAAAATAAAATAAAATCTCAACTTTAAAGCCTTTTAAAACATTGCATCAAACAATCTCTGAAGATATTTCCAAGATTAACATAGAAACACGCCAGCATTGGTTCTTAAATTACCAACCAAGATATATTATTTTCCCTCCAACAATCTCCAGATCAAATTCTAACATTCATTGTAGAGAAGAGTGTTTCCCATAATAATTTAATCAATGATCAAATAATTATCATGTGTATTTGTTACCATAAACACACAACTTATCCTTTCGATCATTTTGTCAAACATCCTCCATGCATCAATGTTCAAACTATACTATCAAGCTTCTTTCTTTTCAAATCTCTCCCTAATAATTTCTGTCACAATATATATATATATATATAGACATACGTACGCACACATTTTCAAGCAATATCCATACTATTTTAAGTTTCAGTATAGAAATTAACCAAACTAAATTCAAATTTCAGTCCTTAATATAATGAATACACTTGATTGTCCCATTCCAACCAAATCTCTCTTTTACACATTTTAACAAACACCTTATATGCATCAAAATTTAAACAATATAACAACTATGTTACTCTTTAAATCTCTTCCTCAACAATCCCCAATTATCAGCACTTAAATTGACTAAAGCTTCCCAATTTCAATTCTTTACCCAGAACCAATTTCAGCTCAAAGACCAAATATATACTCATTCACCTTTTACAACAACCAAAGTAATTAAAGTGGGGCACTCACCTAAAATAAACTCCCCAAGCTTCACTTTCAAATTGGAAAACTATAATCATTTTCTCCACCCCCGAGCTGCTACAGAAACAAAGGGAAGAAGAAAACAAATCTCAACTCTCCCTTCCCAATCGCACACACAATCGAGGAGGAGGAAGAAGAAAGGTTTTACCATACTCACATCGACACAGCGTCACAGAGCAGGAAAGAAGAAGAACCAAATGACGAAAACAGAGGAGGAAGTCCGCCTCACTGAACGGAGACCTGCGATGACGGAAGACCGATTCCACACGCACACGTCGGTGACTGGAAGAACAAAAGAAGCAAATGATTCTCGAACCCTCTACCTTCCTCTCTGTGTGTGTGTGTGTGTGTGTTTTCATGAGACATTGAATGAAAAGGAAACAACAGAAATAGGAGAGGAGGAATACCACGCGAATCTGACCTTCGACGGCAACAACGAATGCACCATGATCACCGACAACTAAGGGAGTAGACGGAGGTGGAAGGGCGAAGGGAGAGAAGGGCGATGGGTTTTAGCTCTCTGACTCTCGCTTGGGTCTAGAATATTCAATAATGAGAAGGATAGGATAAAAAAAAAAACTGATGCGTGTGTTTTGGGTCTTGGCATATCTGATTCTTTTTTTCTTTTAAGAGGTTGAGCAAAAATAATAAAATGCACCACTTGAACTGGACAAGGATTTGAACCCGTAGCTTGAAGATGTTTAGTGAGAATATCCACCAAGCCACCAATATAACTTGTTAAATAATCTAGAACTACATTTAAAATAATTTATCATAAATTTTAATCTTACTTTAAATTTCGGGTTATTACAGCATAATTCACTCGTCACCAGAACTCATGGTCACTGATCTAAAAAGTTGTTGCCCATGGTATTTCTTTAGTTTATTAGTTCGGGGAGTGAATCAAATGTTGATCTATAGTGCAAGTCTATATAATATGTATCATTGTTCCGTGTGGTGTGATTCCTGACAACAGTTAAGTCCCTATGGATCATTTCATTCAAGAAAAGTTTCAATAAATTTTAAAATGTAAAGTAAGCTAGTCTCTTAGGTCCTTATCTGATATCTTTATATAATACAATATATTCTTAATTTTAAAATTAAAAAAAAATTGTAAATTTAACAGAACAAAATTGTAAATTTGAAAAACAAAGTTACAAAGTCTTAATTTGCACAATGACATGTTACTTTTCAAACTTAATTATTAAAATTTGTATTTCATATTGACGAAATTGAAAATTTATCTCCCAATTTTGATATTTTCATATCTTGCAACTTTATTTCCCAAATTTATAATTTTGTCATGTTAAATTTGTTATTCATTTTTTCAATTTTAATAGGAAACACAAATCTTAATAATTAAATTTGAAAAGAATCATATCATTATTTGAATATACTCATATAAATTTGCAATTTCATCTCTCAAATTTACAATTTCATCATGTTGCATTTGCAACTTGCTTTCTTAATTTTAAAAACAAATGTAAATTTAATGATTAAATTTTAAAAGTAACATATCATTATTTGAACACTTTTAATAATTTGCAATCTAGTCTCTCAATTTTGTAATTTTGTTTTGTGAATTTACAACTCATTTTTCTAATTTTAAAATTCAGAATAAACTGCATTATATGCAAATATCAGCGAAGGACCTGGGAGACTTAGTCTACATTTTACAATTTGTTAGAACTTTATTTAAATCCCTTTAAAACTCAAGTGTGCCATTCACCTTTCTAGTAGAATAAAATAAGCATTGCTGAGAAGCAAGCCCTTGGCAAGAGTTTGTGGATGTTGTAACTTGTAATATAATGGCACCACTGGCTGTGCTTTGAGATTAAATATTTTTATATATATTTGGACGGTCTACATTGATGCTCATCACTCCCGACACTGGAACCTTTTATATATGTTGTGCTTGGCAAATGATGTGGAAATACATTAATATATTAATATATGATGTAAAATAAATGAAAAATCACAATATTTATAAATCATAAATTATTGGAGTGATGACTTTAAACTTTGTGCATAAACGTATGAGGTTCACAATCTAGCTAATAAAATAAAAAGGAATATCCCGCCGAACACTTAATGCTTTCAACTAGCTTGACTCAGTTCATAAATCATGAAGAATATGCGAAAATCAAGCTAGCTAGCGCACCTATTGATCATTTCTTGCAATGACTTGGTCAAACCTTTGAAGCTTAATAATATCTTTATCATTAATTAGCTCAAACTTTAAATACTTTATACCACATTTGACTAGTTATTTACTCTCGTAGATTATGTGTCCACGCTTAATTGGTTATTTATCCTTATAAACTGTATGTCTATGCTTGTTATTAATTCGTTCTAATAAAACCCTCCTAAATTTAAAATTAAAATTTATTATTTTTATAAATTCTCTTAAAGCATTTTACCTAATTGTGTCATTGCTTGAAATTATTATATTCTATGAGCATTACAAACCTTGATAAATTTATATTGTTTTATTAGTATTGTTTAATTTGACAATTGTATTATTGAAAAGAATTGGTCTTTATTGTTAATTCAAGTATATATTTCATTATTTCATAAAATTATTTTAGACTAAATTTATTAGTTTTATCTTTTTAATTATTTCAATTATAATTCTGATTGGAATGCTACTTGTCAAAAATTTCTTTGGTATCAGATATTATAGCTGACTCTGTGCTTCCTATTGATCATTAGGAGGCCCCATAGCTTTTTGGACAGTGAAAGTGCCTTTTGATCATCTCTTGGGTGAAAACTATATTGTATTATTAAATTATAATTTAGTACTCCACGTATATCATAGTTAAATTCTAGTTTTTTTTTTTGCTGATATATAATTTGTTGATGTGGAGCTAAGCTCCTTTGCTGAATTGGCTGATAGGTTTTATTATTGTAAAAATTTTGAAAGGTCTAAATTACAGAGGAGACTTTGCCAGAATTTTTATAGAACATTTAAGATTTTTTTCAAATTTTATAATTATATAGATAAATTAATTATCAATATTTTAGCTTAATCTTATATAATTAATGCTCATAGAATGTGAGTTTATTTAATATTTCGTGCTAGTTATACCCTTAGTTTTGGGGTGTAATAAAAACAGAACATTTTTGCCCTTTCAGCTAAAATTTTTAGCGAAAAGGGCAAAAATGCTTCATTTTAAAAACTTTAGAGGCAAAATTGTTTCAACAAAAATGTTAAAGTGTTAGGTGCTCCTTAGAAAATACTTTAGAAATAAAAATGCACTTAAACCCTAAAAAAATATGAATTATCTACACGTACACTTGGATGTATGTTTTAAGAAAATGAGCCGAGGAAATGTTGCTTACACACACACACGTACACATTTAAATGCCATTTCATACTAAGCTAGTTTTCTTTGGCCTTAGAATCTAGCTAGTTAAATAATAAGGATATGGTGATAAAGTGTAAGAGATCTGATATTCAATTAGCTAGATTGTGATCAGTCTCTTGTATTTTATTTTGCGCAAAAAGATGAGATGAGAACCATTATTTTTGGCTTATGGATTACGTGCAACTTTCTATGTTTTATCGAAAAAAAAGAAAATTATTATGTGACTTTCTATAGATTTATATATATATATATATATATATCATGAATTAATACATTGGTTTATTTTCACATCCTTAATTAATGCACCTGGCACAAAATGATAAAATAATGATGTGAGCGTAAAAGCCGTTGATCACAAAAACATATCTAGTACTATATTAGAAAGACATGCAGGGATAGACAAACCTCTATATATCTAACAAAGTTGCTCTGGCTTCTCAGCAATGCTTATTCTACTAGAAATTACACCACACGAAATAATGATACATAGAGAGAGACTACTTACACAGTAGAGGGAACAACATCTGCATATCAACCCAAAATTAAAGTACAACTAATTAAAGATAATGAGCAGGCTAAGAACTAGGGAGAATGATAAAGAATTTTCAAAAGGGTCAGTTAATTCAAGTTAGGTCTCAAATGCTAAACTTTAAAAATTTGCAACTCAGTCTCTTAATTTTATAACTGTATTGGGATGAATTTGTAACTTTTTTTTAAATTTTAACATGATTGAATAATAGAAAAATTTATTTTTCCTGTTAAAATTTGGAATATAACTTGCAAATTCATCACAATAAAATTACAAAATTAAGAGATTGAGTTGCAAATTCTTGAAATTTGACACTTAAAATCTAACTTGAATTAATTGATTTTTTAGACTTCTTTATCATTCTCCCTAAGAACTATTTAGTACAGTGACTATGAATACTGTTGACAAAACCGAAAAGACACCTCTAGGCTCTAACAAAGTTGTTTGCTTCTCATCAGCAATACTTATTCTATTAGAAAGCAACACCACACACAATAACACATAGACTTGCACAAAAGAGAGGAACAGCATCTGCTTCAACCCACACCAAGTAAAGAAAAATGAGTACAAAAACTATAGAACAGTGATCATGAGTGAAGCTTGGGAAGTTACCCTTCTATGAAAAGATAAGACAGTTGCTCCAGATAGTGGGATACGATATTCAGCATGAAAAACAAACCAGCCGCCAACACTATTTGAACCAAAAACAACCACCGATTTGTTGCCTTGTCGTCACCTGATGGTGGCTTCCCTTCGGAAATCAAATTATTGGGGGTCACATAATGTTCCTCATCAACTTCACAAAAAGAGGAATATTAGTTAGTAGTTAAATAAATTAATCATGAATAGACAGGCCAGCGTATTTAAAATATTTATCATATAAATTGCAGATAGACTAAATAATGAGGAACTTAACATGTCAAATAATCTTATGTCTGCTTAAGATTAATATCTCAATGTATATATATATAAATATCAATCATGCGTCAATTATTAATTAATGACTAAATAATATATATATATATATATATATATATAAAAGAAGGAAAATGCTGCATGCACTCAAATCAAAAGGACTTAGTTCGTACCATATCTGTTCATGGTCAAATTAGCTAAATGAAGAGAGTTGTTGACGTATCCGTTGACCCCGTGCTGTTTCTTACGGGAAATTTTGAAACCTGCAGGTGGTATGTGTTTGAAGATGTCGTACTTTGGCTTTCCTGGCCGTATGCTATCTGTAAATGAATCAGACATATCATAGAAACGAAGAACCTGCAACTTTTTGAGGTTTCGAATGTCATCGGGCACCTCTGCCATGTGAGGCAAAGGCCCAACGTATAGCTTCTGAAGTTGTCGGAGTGCCTTATCATCTATTTTCAATATTTTCAGCGGCTCAAGATTCCTCAGGTGTAAAATCTTGAGCTTTCCCAGCCACCCCGTTTTGAAATGCAGTTCCTCGCCCTGGTAAGCCATGCGAAGTCGCAGCTCCAACAGCTCATTTGAGTTTCTGAGAGCATATATGGGATCATGTGTTAGTCTTGAGCTGTTCAAGCGCAGTCTCACGAGTTTTCTCAGATTAGGAATCCATTCTGGTAATTTTCGCAAACGACCCTCCAAGTAAAGCCGTTGAAGGTTCTTTGGGGGGTTGTTTATGGATTCCAGCTCTAGAAATTCATCCACGTCCTTAGCTCCTATCCACAACGAGGCAAGGCAGGTTAGAGTCTCTATGACCCAACATAGATCTCGTCCGTTTTGACCTGTTAACCCTGTGATTCCCAGCTTCCTTAGCTGCTTTAATTTTCTCAGCTCTTTAATTACGGAAGAATCCCCTTGACAATCGATAGAATATAGCTTTTGTAGATTCGTGAAATTCCCAAAACCTTCTTTTATCTGCAATCCTTGGAAACAAGAGGCCATGTCGAAATCATCGTCACTGCCGTGGTAGGAATAGCCTAGAAGGTGACGAAGCTTCATAAGCTTTTTTATTTCCTTTGGAAGCTTCTTGACTCGGGTGTTCTTGAGGTCTAAAGTGAGAAGTTTCCGAAGCTTGCCGATTGATCTGGGAAGATTCTCGATTCTTGTGTTTCTCAGACCCAAATATTCCAGGAGCAATAACTGTCCAATTTCTTCTGGAACAACATTTAGAGGAGCATCGTCGAAGTCTAATGTTCTCATCAGCTTGAAGGTGGTGATCACAGATTTGGAAATCCCTCCAGCGTTGAACAAAATACAAGATCTCACCTCTCTCGGATGGGAAACAACCTCAAAAAACTCAATTTCACTGTAATCCTGTTGAATCGATAATCGTCGTGGAAAGCTTGAGGAGTTCAAATCCGACTCGATCTTGTCCAAAACTTGACAGAAATTCAGCTCCGTAAACTTGGTCAAGATGAAGCCGCGCATCGTATCTTGAACCTTGCAAGTCCTAACTTTGCCGTCAATATCAAACACTGTAGCCTGAGAACAAAATAAAATGACAACTATATATTAACCAATAAATCTAAATTCAACTGACAATTTAGGTAGTATTTCATTAACGACTTAAATCATGTTACATTCTACATAGATATGAATAAGATAAAAAAATTTACGTACCTGAAGCAAGTTTCTAAGTATCATCTCTTGCAGGTAATTCATGCCAACATCTTCCAATGTCTCAGTCTTTAGATCTGTTTGGACAAACCCTTCTGCTATCCATAAACGAACGAGTCTGTTGCAATTGATAGGGTAGCCTTCAGGAAATACACCCAAGTAGAGGAAGCAAAGTTTGAGGTGATAAGGAAGATTGTAATAACTCTCCGACACGGCTGCATTCAGTGCTCGGACCTTGGGATGGTTATTATGATTAGCTAAGATCCGACCCAGATTTTTGGACACGTTTTGCCATTTGGAGACATCGTAGTCTGTATTTCCATTCGAAAGCAGACTACCAATGGTCGTGATAGACCTTGGTATCCCTTCACATTTCTGGATTATCTTGCGAGACAATATTTGTAGGTCTGTTGGGCATTTTTTACCATCGAAGACGACACAATTGAAAAGTTCCTCGGCCTCTTCGAATTCAAGAGGTTTCAACCTTAAGGGTTTAACTTGGGCCGTGTGTGCGGGAGCCATGCAATTTTTTGCGACCTCTTGGTCTCTGGTCGTGATTATTATTCTGCTTTTACTTGCGCTTCTTGGGGGTATTATGTTTTTGATGCTGTTCCAGAAATTTGTGTCCCAAACATCGTCGAACACTATCAAGCACTTGAACTCCCTCAGACAATTTTTCACTTCTTCGTTCAAAAGCCGTATATCCATGTCCGACTCAATTCCCTTGTTCTTCCGATTGTCAGACTTGAGTTGTTTGATCAATTTCTTTAATATGTCTCTTATCTCGTAGGACCGCGTCACATCCACCCAAGCTCGACGTGTGAAAGTGTTCTCATTCATGAAACGATATACTTGGTTCACCAGGCTAGTCTTACCTGATTATATTTAATAAAAGGGCAAGACCTTGATAATTAATAATATATCTTCAATATACTTTTATTCAATCAAGACAAATCAATTTTAATACATTAAAAATATTAATAACAATAACTTTTTATAAAATAAATATTCTATAAAAAAATTTGTATGAAATAATTTAATTTTAAAAAAGTACCTTTCTTTTTTTTTTGAAAAATTAAAGTGTAATAGTTTCTTTAAGGTGTAATTAATATGTTTTTTAAATACATATAGTAAATAAATTATTTTATATTAACTTTAAAGTAAAATATTCTATTAAATAAAGATAAATTTTAAAAAATAATATTAATTTAAAGAAAATTCACTATTTTATTGAAATAAGATTAGGTAAAAATGTCGTTTTTAATTAAAGGGATAATAAATAATGTTATAAACTCTGTATGGTGACTAGGTAGCTAGTGAGTGTAGCCTACTCTAGTGGCTAAATAAGATATTTGCAGAATTGTAATTTGAAAAATTGAAGCGTTCATTTGCATATTTTCGTCACATCTGTGTGTGTATAACATCACTCATTCATTATTTTTTAATAGCGTATATTTAGTCTTAAAGTTTATTTTTTATTATTATCTCGTGTCTTATTGTTCTGTTTGTTATCATTATTTCTTTCTTCACAGCTCCCACGTCCCTTCACTAAATAAAGTATGCTTGATTTAGTTAGTTGTATTTTTTATTCATTTCCTTCTTTTTTGTAAAATTTAAATTCAAATCTAATCTCCATACATTCAAACGCTACTTTAATTGATTTATTTTAAAGGAATTTATGTTAGCTGACTTGACTGCCATATCTCTGTGTGTGCGTGCGTGTGTATGATAGTAAAATCAAGAAAACACTTAAATGGGAGGATCAAAAGAAAGACAACCACTTAACCATTATATCCTTGTTAAAAAAAAAAAAAGCCAAAAAAGGAAACATAAAACACAGTTAATTAAGCTATTGTCTATCTCAATGTAGGTATATCTGGAAATACGCATATGCATTACCGCGAGAGAACAACACCAGATAGGTACTCCTTTTCACTCTTTTTATAAGATAATTTCTAGATGCGGTTTGATGTGAAAAAAAAAGGTTTTATTAATGATGATTATCCTAATATTACCTCTCATTATTTCATTCTTTAAATATATTTCTTTCCTTCTGTCTTATTAATGAAATATAATTTTAAAATTTTATTGAAAAATTAAGATTATAAACTATATTTAATAAACTTTATCTATTAATAAAATATTATAAGGCATTTTTTAAAGTATCATGTTAAAAAATACAAGGCAATTAAATAATAATAAACATAGAAAGAGTGTACAATCTCAAAGACAATTAGATAATTCATTTAAATTAGTATAATTTGGTTTAATAAACTGTATTGAATGCATGGAATAATATATATATATATATATATATATATATATAAAAAAAAAAAGTAAACTGACCGTGTCCGCCGGATCCGACAATAGGTATGACGGTGCATATACTTTTGCCGTGGGTGAGGTAGTTATCAAGTTCTTCCTTCCGGACTCTAAAGCCCACGAACTGATCCCTCTCCACGAGAGGTTCTAGAAGCTTCTGGTCTTGCCACGACCAACCGTTTGAGCCTCCGCCACCGCCGCCAGCATCCCCTCCGGTGAGCCCCAAGCTCTCTCTCATCTGACCGTAGCGCAATATTCTTGCGTTGATTTCCTGGATCTCGTCGTTGATTCGATGGCTCGATACAATACCGGTGACGAACCCGCGTGCCAAACCGACAAAATCACGTCGCTTCGTTCGGCGCCTAGCCACCTGGTATTTGTAATCATCGATCACATCTTCAATGTCATGAGCTATTTCCCGCACGTTCCTCACCCAGTCCTTCATCGTGTTGTTGGTGTTTGAACTTTCTGCCCGTTCGTCTGCCTCTCTTAGATGCGCCTTCATCGTCTGCAGATGCTTGCTGATTTTTTCCACTTCTGATTTCAGTCCCAGCTGCAACCTCACCTCGTTTTCCAGTGATCGGATTAGCGTCTCCGTCACGAAGTTCACGGCAGTTTCTGCCATTTCGGCTTCTTGCATGCATTATATTGCATGCTTCCCATAACGCAGTCTTATTTATAAGCGGTCAAAGCATAAGCACCGGCATCCAAGATTTGACTCCACACATATTTCGTCGTATTTCTTTATTTGCTTGTCTTCGTCTTCGTAATATGAAATATGCACAATTGCTGACACAAGATCCCACTTGCATCTTTCTTTTCAATTCCAACTAACCTTACATATTTCTCGGAACAGTTCAACCATCAATATTTAAATCATTATATTTTTATTAAAATAAAAATATTAATAAATCTATTTTATCATTAATTTGAACAATACTAATTTAATTTAGATGATCAAATTTATTATCAAAAGTTTTTAAATTTTTATAAATTGATTATGCATATGTACGACACTCTAAATTTAAAATTTTCACTCACTCACAACTTTCTTCTAACAAAATATTTTTCATATTATATTTATCAAAATAAATATTTATAAAAATTTTAATATTAAATCTATACTGTTCACATAGTACATCTACATAGCTCATTTTGTAAAAATTATAAAAATTAATTGCAACACTCAAATCAAATATATATTGTTCAAATTAAGGATAAAGTATGAATTTGTTAAAATTTTTATAATTTTTATTTTAATAAAAATAAAATTTTTAAATCTGCACTGTTCAGATCTGGTGACCTTTTTGGAGATGAGTACCAAAACTAGTTCTCATCATCTCTTGCATGCATGTACAATTGACTTTGAATATTACTATATATTAAATGATTATGATTAGTATGAACTTGATCTTGCTTAGAAGTCAGATATGTATTGGTTGTTGTGTATAAACGAGGATAAATTATATTACCACTAACATATGTAATAATTACGTGGTAGTTAGGGGAATATATATACATATATTTATATATATATATATATATATTAAATGAATGTAATAATTAATTCTATGAACTTAATTGGCTTTTGAAGTCAGAAGGAATCTGAATTCGATATACCAATGAAAATGGAAACAAATTTAGACCTGGTCTTATTTCAGCCATATACATGCAATACTCTGTACGATTTTTTTTTTACAAGGTGTTTGAAATATCTTTCATGTATTTAAAAAATAAAAATTAGTACTCCCTCCCAATCACAATATAAGTTATAGTTAATTAATTCATGGTTTATGAACAATATTAGTTGTAACCTTAAATTCTTAAAAATGTCCATACGTTTTCATTTATACCCTCATTAAATAGCCTTGATAACAGTAATTAAAATTTTAATGAATGATTTTTTTAAAAAGAATAATAAATGAAGTGGTGATATAGTTGAAAAACATATAAAAGTTATCTAATGCCTTATATTTTGGACCTGGTAAGATTTCTATAAGATGTTTATATTGTAGTTTGGAGGGAGTTTATTACTATATTAGTTAAAATTATTCCAATTTTCAGCTACCCTTGTTTATTAAAAGAAGATAATGTTCCTTTCCATTAAAAAAGAGTAAATAAATAAATGAAATGTATTTTTATAAAATGTAATTATATGTTTTAAAAATTTTAAAAATAAATAAATAAAACATTTTTTGAAAAATTATATTTTCTTATTTATATACTCCCTTATGTTCCTATTATAAAGCATTTTCAACTATTCCAGGAAAATCAATAAATGATAATTAACTTATTAAACATGTCTTAACATGAAAAAAATTTATCAACTTTACTCTATTAAAAACAGAAAGAAAGAGATATACCATATACAATGAATTATAAAATTAAATTTACAATAGAAATAAAATTGAGCCATGGTAATAAATTAATAATCTTTCATGTGTCTTGTCTTAAGAATTAAAATATTTTTTTAAAAAAATGTCCTATAGTAAATACTGAAAAGAGTGTGTGTAATGTCAACATTGTGTTTGGTCCTTGGGCCTAATCACGCGCAAACTCAAGTATAATATATTGATTGTAACAAGAAGATGCATGCACTGGTAATAGGGAGTCTGAAATTTTGAACACATTTAATAATAGGGAGTCTAGTGTGAATAAGGGAATTTTGGGGTTAACTTGAATATTATATTGGTTTCGTCATCATTATACGAAGCAAGCCGTCGTCATTTGGATTACTTCATTATACGTTCAATAATTTAATAATACACTAAAGTCGTTTAACTCACCAGCATTTTGTAGTCAGTATATGAATACACCCTTTTGATTGCCCGCAGCAATTAACTTCAAATCAAATAGGTAATGGTTCAGAAATTGAATGAAAAAAAAAAAATCTACTTTATTCTTTGAAAATTGCTAACCTTACATTGAAAACAGGGCCCTATTTATACTTTCATGGGCAAACGAAAACAAAAGACATAAAACAAAGGTTACACACGTTACAATTGGATTTTGAATGTTATTAACTTGGGATGTTTCTAAGCTTTCATTTCCATCGTAGTTGCTCTTGCTTCCATTTCATCCTCCCTGAGTTCGATGTAACTTGCTCTCAAGTCAAATTCAGCATCATCATCAATGTAAGGGGATAGATCACCAACATTGAAGGTGGCAAGCACTCCATAAGAACCAAGCAATTCTACTTTATAAGCATTATTATTGATCTTTTGCACAATTTTAAATGAACTATCAGCTTTTAAGGACAACTTGGCATTTGGTTGTTTAGGAAATCATTTCTTTCGCAGATATATCCAAACCAAGTCTCCCATGTTAAAAGTTTGATATTTTCAATGCTTGTCACATTGAGTCTTGTATCTCAAGTTTTGCTTCTGTATTTGTGTACGAACTTGTTCATGCAACTTTTTGATTTTCTTAGCTCTTTGGTCAGCATCAGAACTATATTTCTAATTATCAAGTGAAGGGATCAAGTCTAGCAGACTAAGGGGACGAGTGCCGTAAACAACTTTAAACAGACACTTCCCATTGCTTGATTGACAGAGTTATTGTAGGCAAATTTAATTTGAGCAAAAATGAGGTCCTACTACTTCAAATTCTTTCCCACAAAATTGCGAAGAAGATTACCAAGAATCCTATTTACAACTACAATTTAACCATTTATCTGGGGATGACTAGCACTGCCAAACTGGAGTTTAGTTCCCATCTTCTTCTATAGCTTTTGTCAAAAGTGGCTGAGAAACTTCACATCACAATTAAAAGTGATAGTCTTAGGAATACCATGAAGATGAAGAATCTCTTTAAAGTTCAAATTCGCTACTTGAACAGCATCATTGGTCTTCTAGCATGGAATGAAATGGGCCATCTTCAAGAATTAATCCATAGCTACCATAATGAAATCTTTATATCTCTAAGCCCATGGTAAACCAAGAATAGAATCCATGCTCACATCTTCCCACGGTGCTTCTGGAATTGGCAACAGCATGTATAATCTCATATTTTGGCTCTTGGCCTTAACCAAATGACATATTCTACATCTCTGTATATGCCAATTGACATCTTGTTCAAGCCTTAGCCAATATAAATTCTCTTTAACCAAATCAATTGTTTTGTCTCTATCGAAATGTCTGGATAATCTACCATCATATGCTTCCCAAATTATAGCCTCTCTCAAGAAATCTTGTGGAATGCATAGGGTTTTGCTTTAAAATAAAAACCTTTTATGTCTGTAAAATTGGTGGAAAGATTGACTTGCAGTTACTTCTCATACTCCTCAAAAATTGAGATCATCTTGGCACAGCTCTTTGACAATTTCAAACCTAACAACTTTAGCCTTCATTATTATGAGCAACATATGTCGACGGCCAAGTGCATCAACTATAGAGTTCAAAGTTTCAGCCTTATGCTTAATAAGGAATGGATAAGACTATAAGAGTTCACTCCAACGGGCATGCTTGTGGTTGATCTTTTGCTAAAAATTCAAATATTTAAGGGCCTTATGATAAAAAAAAGAGTATAAACTCTTTGTTCAGGAGATAATAACTCCAATATTGGAGAGCTCGAACAATGGCATAGAATTCTTTGTCATAAGTAAAGTTCCTAAGCTTAGAATTGTTGAGCTTTTGACTGAAAAAGGCAATAGGATGGCCCTATTGGCTTAAGATAACACTAATGTCAGTGTTGGAAGCATCACGGCTAACTTCAAACACTTGGTCAAAATTAGAAAGAGCTAGGATAGGAGCTTCGATCAACTTCTTAAGCTCATCAAAACTTTTCTAAGATTACTCTATCTACTGAAATTTCTCTCATCTAGTGCAATCTATAAGTGGTGCAAATATAAAGCTAAAATTATGGATGAATCTCCTATAGAAAAAAACTAATCCGTGTAAGTGTTGAACCTTCTAAATAGATTTAGGAATTGACCAGCTATTAATGGCTGCAACTTTACTTAGATCAACTTGAGCACCCTCTGCAATAATAATGTAACCCAAGAACACAACTTTACTGGTGAGGAAAGTGTACTTCTTGAGATTACTATGAAGCTTATTTTCTTGTAAGGCTTGCAAAATTTGCCATAAGTGATCTAAGTGTTCTTCTTAACTATTGCTGTAGATACGAATATCTCAAAGTATATAACAATAAATTTACCAATAAAGGTCTCAGTACTTGATTTATCAGGTGCATAAATGTGCTAAAGGCATTTGTTAACCTAAAAGGCATTACATTCTACCCATACAAGCCATCTTTGGTCTTAAAAGCGATCTTTCACTCATCTCATAGCCGAATTCTAATTTAGTGGTATCTAATATCAAGGTTAATTTTGAAAAGGTAGTGGCGCCATACAACTAGTCTAACATATCATTAAGCCTAGGTATTAAAAATCAATACTTGATAGTGATCTTGTTGACAGCTCGACAATCAATATACATTCTCCAACTTACATCCTTCTTAGATACTGGAAGAACAGGTACAGTACAAGGGTTGACACTTTCTCCAACCAACCCTTTTTTCAATAGCTCTTCAACTTGTCATTGGACTTCGGCATATTCCTAGGGACTCATCCTGTAAGCAGGCTTGTTGGGAATGACTGCTCCTGACATAATGTCGATGGCATGTTGTATGTCTCACATGGGTGGCAACCCTAGTGGTATCTCATCAGATATCACATCTAAAAATTCAGATAATAAAGGCATGACTCTTAGCTAATTGGTAGACTTATCGTTCACCTTAAGCACCAGAATGAAACTCATCATTTAGGCTTTGGACTTTGTCACCTTGAACTCCTCCTTGGTCATCAAAGACACCAATGACTTAGATTTCCTCAAAGATTAGGTAATCTTACTAGGCAATAGAGGCGCTAATGTGAACTTGACACTATCTTTCATGAAAGAATAGGTGTTTGCATACCCATTATGTATAGCATGTCAATCATATTTCCATGGTCTCCCTAAATGAAGGTGGCATGCATCTATAGGAACAATATCAGCTAAAACTTCATCACAATACTTATTCCAAATAGAAAAAGTCACAAGGCATTTATTAGAAATGTTTACCTCATTTTCCTTATTGAGCCAGTGAAGCTTGCAAGGATGTGGATGATCTTGTGTTGGCAACTTCAATTTCTCTACCATATAGTCAAACAATACATTTTAACAGCTTCCATTATCAATTATGACATTACAAACTTTTTCTTAAGCCATGTAATGAGTGTGAAAAATATTGCGTCGTAGCTAAGGTTCTTCTTTACAATCTCTTATTTATATTATTATGGTCAAACAAAAACAGAAGACATAAAATGAAGGTTACACACATTACAACTAGATTTTGAATGTTATTAACTCAAGATATTTCTAAGCTTCCATTTCCACCATAGCTGCTCTTGCTTCCATTTCACCCATTTCAGGTAATATAAAAAGTAGAGTTAAGATGAGAGAAGAAGAGAGCGATAGGCGTGCAAACTTGAGAAATTATTGAATGTATAATAGCCTAGGCCATGACATCAAGAGTAAGGTCTAAAAGCTCTTTATAAAATTATCTCTTTTTTTAAAATTCAGTGGCAAATCATAATTTTTATGTATTTTTCTCACATTTTTCATATATTTTAATGAGACTTTTGTAAATATAACCCATGTTATAGGATCAAATTAAACAAACAGCTTAACATTTATTATATTTTGTATTATGACCAGTTTAGTATATTTTTAATGATATATTATCATTATATATTAATGATAAATCTCTTGTCATCAACCACACTCTCAAATTTTTAAAAATTTGGTCTATATTTTCTTGGCAAAAGATTTTTTTGGCCAATTTATCCTATTTTTTAATTATAATTTTTGGTTAATTTGAAATTATTAGATATTATTTGGATTATTAGCCAATTTTGAAGAATAATATATTTTTGGATTAATATTAAAAAATTTGAGCTTAAATTGTTAATATTTTATTTTCTTATTTTTAACATGGTTTAATTGTTCCAATCTTTAATTGTGCTTATTTTGAATTATTATACATTATTTGAGTTTTTGGCCATTTTGTGAGAAAATTATAATTGCTGGAAAAAATTAATTTTGAAATATTTTATGAGACATGAAATTTATTTTGGACAAAACCTACATTAATATATAGGTTCATTTTGACTTTTCAAGGTTTGGAAGACATTATTTAAGTTTATTAAGGGTACTATGGGTAAATCATAGCAAGGAAAATGAACTAATGTCCGTCTCATAGAAAGAATTCATCTTATAGAGCTAAAGAGATGCTGGAGTTGGTTTACTTAGATGTCTTTGGAAAGGTGAAGCAATATTTACTCAAAGGGTATACACTACATGGTGATATTCATTAATGATCATTCAAGACATACTTGGGTGTATTTTGTGAAAGAACTCTAGCAAAGTCCAAGAATTCAAGATGATGGTTGACAACGAAGTTGGTAGAAAAATCAAATGCCTTCATACAAATAACAAGAAAGAATATGTCTTTAATAAATAAATTCTCCAACTTTTGCCAACAATATAAGATACGACAACAGCTCACTTATCCAAATGCACCATATAACAGAGCAAGTATTTGGTAGAAGTATGTCAAAGCATGACTCATGCAAAGAATGTTCCTTAAGAGATTTTGGGCTAAGTGTATGAGAACAACAGCTCATGTAATCAACAAGCTTCCTCAATCAAATTCATATCTCCTTTTAAGAAGATGTGGGAGATGAAGCCTACAGTGACCCATTTCAAGATATTTGAAATTTCAATTGTAAATAAAGCATTTAGATTTTAAATATAACTTGCAGCTAGTAATATAATTTATTTTTAAGAAAAATTGTCAAAATTTTAACTTTCATTTTTTTATTCTTTTTAAAATCTTACCGTCACTAGTGTCCTTTAATTATTTGCTGAGCACAAAAAAATTATGTAGGCATCAAAACCGTTAATCACAAAAACACATCCAAGACGATCAAAACCGCGAGAGGATCAACCTCTAACATATCCAATACTAGAAATCACACCACACGAAATAATAATACACAGAGTACTAGTACAATAGAGGGGAACAACATCTGCGCCCACGCACACCAGCTGAAGAAAAATTAACAAGACATATACAGTGACGATGAATTGGGAAGTTTAACATCAGACAAACCTAAAATAGACAGCTCCAACATATTCGCTTGCTTCTCAACATTACTTATTCCTCTCTAAGTCACATCACATCACATAGGATAATCAACAATAATACATAGACTTACACAACAGCTGAGAGGAACTATAACATCAGTGTCAACCCAAACCAACTGAAGAGAAAATTCAGAACAGTGACGGGTGAAGAATATTGGGAAGCTGCCCTCAGAAAATCCGATAAGACAGCTGCTCCACATATTTGGACACGAACGCTAGCATCAAAGCCAAAGCACACACCAACAATGCGGTAACCCAAAACCACTGATCTTTTATATTCTTGTCAAATGAAAATGGCATCTCGCCTTTGGGAGCCAAATTATTGCGGACCGCAGGATTTTCATCACCTTCACAAGAACAAGAGGACAATGAGTTCTTAATTTCTCTCTTTGTAACACTATAGAAGATCCACACCAGATCATGCATGATCAATCATTAACGAAGCTAAATAAAAAAATAACAGTAGAAAAAAGGTACACGCTAATGGAGTTTGTAATTATTACCGAATCTATTCTTCAAAATATTAGCATAGTGAAGAGAGTTGTTGATGTATCCGTTGAATCCAAGCTCGCTGCTACGGAAGAACATATGCGGTATGTCTTTGATGATGTTATACTTTGAATGGCCTTCCTGAATGCTATACGTGAATGCATCAGGCATGTCACAGAAACGAAGAGACTGTAATTTTTTGAGATTTTGGAAATCATCAGGCGCTTCTGCCATCTGAGGGCAAGGCCCAAGGTATAAAGTCTCAAGTTGTAGCAGTGCTTTATCCTCTATCTTCAATGTTTTCAACTGCTGAAGATATCTGAGGCGTAAAATCTTGAGCTTTTTTAGCCACCCTTTCTTGAAACACAGTTCCTCGCCCTGGTAAGCCCTTCGAAGTCGTAGCTCCAATAGCTCATTCAAGTTTCTGAGAGCAAATACTGGATCATCTGTTAGTCCTGACCCTATCAAGCGTAGTCTCACTAGCTTTTTGAGTTTGGGAATCCATTCTGGTAATTTACGTAAACGACCCTCCAAGCAAAGTCGCTGAAGGTTCTTTAGTGGGTTGGCTAAGGAGTCCAGTTCTAGAAATTCTTCCTCGTCCACTGCTCCTATCCACAAGGAGGTAAGGTTGGTTAAAGCATCTATGACACTACACAGATCTTTTCCATTTTGACTTCGTAGCCTCGTGATACCCAACTTCTTTAGCTGCTTCAACTTTTTAAGTTCTTTAATTATGGAAGCTTCCACGGGAAAATCGATAGCGTTTAGCTTTTGTAGAAACTTGAAATTCCCAAAGCCTTCTTTTATCTGCAATCCTTGGACAGAAAAATCCATGCTTGAATCAGTGTTACCGCCGTGGAAGGAATAACCCAGAAGCTGACGAAGCTTGATAAGTTTGTTTATTTCCTTAGGTAGTTTTTGAACTTGGGAGTTCTTCAGGTCTAAAGTGAGAAGGTTCTCAAGTTTTCCGATTGATCTAGGAAGTTTCTTGACTCTTGTGTTTCTTAAACTCAGATATTCCAGGAGGTATAGATCTCCGATATCTTCAGGAAGAACATTAAGGGGAGCATCGTCGAAATCTAATGTCCTCATATGCTTGAACTTTGGCAACAGAGAAATTGAAATCCCTTTAGTGTTGAACAATATACAAGATCTCACCACCGTCAGATCTGAAACAACATCAAGAAGCTCGTCTTTACTGTAATTCTGTTGGACTGATAATCGTCGTGGCGAGTCTGAGAATCCCAGATCTGATCCAATGTTGTCCAAAACATGACAGAAATTCACCTCAGCAAACTTTTTCAAGATAAAGCCGCGCATCATATCGTGAACTCTGTAACTTCTAACTTTGCCATCAAAATCAGTCACAGCAGCCTGAGAAGAAAATGGCACAACTACTACATCTGAATCACATATGAATTATAAGCAATCATGCATATCCTATATATATATTTTATATATTAAATAAAATATATATGTATATATCAAATATTTGAAAAACAAGAGCAAACGTAATGCTAGCATAATATATATTTATATAGTGGGTGTATGAAGACGTATTAATTAACCATTAAAGTAAAATGAATCGTGTCAGCTAGTTCATAGTTACAAACCTGGACCAAGTTTCTATTTATCAGCTCTTGTAGGTAATTCATCCCAACTTGTTCCAAAGTCTCTGTCTTTCCTTCTTGGACAAACCCTTCTGCTATCCACAAACGAATGAGTCTCTTGCAATTAATATGGTAGTCTTCAGGAAATATACCCAGGTAGAGGAAGCAAAGTTTGAGATGATAAGGAAGATTGTAATAACTCTCGGACACGATTGCGTTCAGCACTCGAACCTCGGGATTGGTATCAGTAGCCAAGATCCGACTCAGATTCTTAGATACATTTTGCCATTTGGAAATGTCATCTGGATTTGCCTTTGAAAGAAGACTCCCAATGGTGGTAATAGCCAGTGGTATCCCTTCACATTTCTGGATTATCTCGTGAGACAATATTTGCAGGTCTTTAGGACACTCATCACCATCGAAGACAACCCGATTGAAAAGTTTCTTGGCCTCCTGGTGCTCAAGAGGTTTCATGTTTAAGGGTTTAACTTCGGCGGTGTGTGCGTGACCCTTGCAGTGGTCTGCCACTGCTTGCCTCCTGGTAGTGATTATGATTCTGCTTCCGTTCTTGTTCTGTGGGGGCAATATGGATTTGATACTGTCCCAAAAATCTGTGTCCCACACGTCGTCGAACACTATTAAGCACTTGTTGTTCTTGAGACAATTTTGCGCTTGTTCGTTCAAATGCCTTATGCCGGCCTTGTCGGATTCAAAATCCTTCTGAGACTTGAGTTCCCTGATGAGTGTCTTGAGCATGTGTTTTGAGTCGTAAGATTGTGACACCTCCACCCATGCTCGACGATGGAAGTTGTTCTCCACCTCTTTGAGACGATATAGTTGGCTCACAAGGGTAGTCTTGCCTGCTCCCATGTATTATTCAATTTATTATTTCCGAGGGATCAAATTAATTATTTAATTAGTTGCAAGTTGCTGACGTAATATTACATTCTAATTAGTTAAGTATCTTATGAGTATAATAATAATAATAAATTGACATTTTAATTAATGTAACAGAAAAATAGAAAGACATGCATATGGTGGCAAACGAGACGGCAGGATCTAGGGGAGGCATAGCTAAATACTCCCTCAATCCCTAATTAATTATGGGTCTTAGTTTTCATATTTGTTTGTTCTTAAAATATCAGTCTTGGTTCAAGTTATATAGGTGAACGAGTAAAGGATTTTTCCTAAAATGCCTTCATAAATTACTTGTAAGATATACTTCCTAGTCCTTATTATTAATAATATATACTTTGTGGATCATAATACAAAACATCTTCTAAAACCTTTGCTTGGTCAGCATTGGGTAACTTTTATAATTACCTTTTTAACTATACCCTCATTTTATTTATTCTTTTTTGAAAAAATGATGTATTAAAATTTTAATTACTATCATCAAAACTCTTATGTAGGGTATTTAATGAGGGATAATTAGAAAGATGTAAATTTTTTTTAAAAAAATTAAAGTTTTAACTAATATTTTTTGAGATTCGTGAATTAGTAGTTATCAATGCCTTATATTTTAGTTCAAAGAAATAAGAGTTACTTTACTGTTTTGAAAAAATTAAAGTTAGTTCAACTTTCTTTAATTTTTTTAAAATATATTTTTAATTTTTTTTGCCAAGAAATATAATTTTTTTAATTATATTTTCATTAAATACTCTATATAAATATTTTAATAATAACATTACAATTTTAATGAACTAGTATGCATACCAAATACCCTATATTTTGAATTAAAAATATTTCTAAAATATACCCTTATGCTATCAAGAGAAAGGAGTACTTTCCAATGACAGTAACTTTTAAAAAATAGAAGTTGAGGGCATATTTGGAATGAAACAACAATTTTGGTATTTAGTCCTAAATTACAAGATATTTTTAAATAAAAATATATACTAATTAAATTTATTAAATATACTTTACAATCTTAAGTTTTAAAATAAAGATGCTCTCCATTTAATACTTTATTTATAAAAAAATTAAAAAATAGAATACACAGGAGGATAATATTAAAAAAATTTATTAATGAAATTCTGTTTTTGTTAAAGTATTTTATATTCTAGAATATCAAACCTCTTCCAAATCTAGGGCGGAGGAAGTATTATTAATTACTAAATCAATTAATTCTTCCACCATACTTATTATTTAGAAGAAACAAATGATTGTAAGAAATTGGACAGACTCACCGAGGCCACCCTGGCCAACAACGGGTATGACGGTCATATTTTTGCCTCTGTTAAGCAAATTCATGAGTGTTCTCTTCTGCTCTTGAAAGCCCACCACCTGATGCTCCTCCAGGATTGGTGCTACTTGCTTCTGGTCTTGCCACGACCAGCCATTAGTCCGGCCGCCGCCGCCTCCTTCTTCCCCTCCGGTGAGCCCCAAGCTTTTTCTGATGCCATCCTGGCGAGATATTCTCTCCCTGATCTCCTGGATCTCGTCGCTGATTTCGTGGTTCGAGACAATCCTGGTCACGAACCCCACAGCTCGGCCAGCCAAGCCAGCATGGTGACGTTGCTCTATCTTGCGCCTGGCCACCCTGTATCTGTACTTGTCGATGACGTCTTCAATGTCATGAGCTATTTCTCTCACGTTCCTTACCCAGTCCTTCACCATGCTGTTCGTGCTCGACCTTTCTGCCTGCACGTCGGCATCTTTTAGATACGCCTTCATCGTCTGTAGATCTTGGCTTATTTTCGCCACTTCTGATTTCAGTCCCAGCTGTAACCTCACTTCTTTTTCCAGTGATCGGAGCAGCGTCTCCGTCACGAAGTTCACGGCCGTCTCCGCCAGTTTCTTATATATCTCCTGGATCCTCTTCTTGCACTTTGGAATTATAATGCCATCTTATTTATAGGTGGACGAAGCACAATCAGCTGCTCTTCTTCTCTCACATAGCTTCATTATTATTTGACTCCGCCTCTTGTTCGTCTTTTTTTATTTTCTTTTTTCTCTTCGTAATATCAAACGTGAACTCCCTCATGTACGGCTCTACATATTATGGGAGCCTTCTATAGGAATTCATTTACTTCATTAATTAGTCCTTATATGAGTAAGTAGAGGTTATTATTAATTATTAATATATACCAATTTTACTCCAGCTGCAAATTACTTCTTTGTGCTATAATATAAGGCATGCATTTTCTAAGTCTTGTTTAATTCAAAATATAAGATATTAGATGGTTTTTATAATTCTTTCAACTAAATTTCTATTTTATTTATTACTTTAATTTTTTTTTTGTAAGAAATGAAACATTGAAATTTTAATTATCATTATTAAGACACTTATATATGATATTTAATAAGGGTATAATTAAAAAAATATATTTTTTTAAAAAATATGATTTCAACAAACCTTTTTTAACACATAATTACCAATGTCTTGTATTGTAATATAAAGAGAGTACTAAAATAGAGAAATTAATTCTAGTATTTTTATACGATGGAATGTTGTGTTTCTTTCTCTCTTTTCCTTTAAAAGTTTTTTTTTTTTCGCCATGAAAGGGATTGCAAAGTATTTAATTTTTTATTTTTTTAAAGTCCATGTTCTTTTTTTTTTAATTGGTACCGCACCCTAATTAGCTGCTTGGTGTCTGCACGGCTTTCACTCTTTATGCCAGCTACAGAACTAAGTAGACAGTGTAGTAGAGAGGGCTTTGCCTTGGAGCTTGTCACCTTTCAAAAAGATCATCCCAAGGAATTGAACTTGAGTTCTCTTCCTTGGGGCGGAGTCTATGTTCTTTAACAAGGGTTGGAATATTTTTAATTTTAAAACGTACTTAACAAGTTAACTGTCATTTCTTAATTTGAGTGAGGTGGTTGAAAGGGCGTTAGAATAAGAACCAGCGAGAGTATAATCATTATTTTTATTAGAAGACAAATATTAAAGATATGATATTACAAGCAAGGTTGAATCAATGACCTCTCACTTAATAAATTTGCATGTCACCAGATTACATTGTGATGGTTTACGACTACTCGGTACTAAGAGGGTTATAGATTAAATGAATGTAATAATTAATTAATATGAACACGATAGGGTTTACAATTAGAAGTCGGAAGAGATTAATGTGAACTGAAGTAGCTTGCTTTTGTACGCTTGCATATATCAGTGAAATAAAAGAAAATAAATGCAGACTTGGTCTTATTTTATCATATATATTTATATATATAGTATTGGTTGTTGTGTATAAACGAGGATAAATTGCGCTACAACAGTACGATAAGTTGGTCAAATAAAGTATCAAGATGCTTTCCTTCGTTTGTCAACCCGAAAGATCTTCCCCATAAATGATTCTCAAGATATAGAGGTCTCATAACTCATATATATAATTTTTAGTTCTCAAAATATCCCATAAAATGTACAAATATCCCTAACTGTGTCCCAAATTATAATTAATGTTGGGTGTATATTTATTGAAATATCCTTCTTTGAAAAATTTAAAATTACCTCCCATGATGTTCGACGCTAGAGTCGCCACTGTCGGCTAGCTGTCTACCATCGGAGCTCCGTTGTTGGTCGTCAGCCGATTACCGAATCTTTAGCTCTGGCAACCATTTGAGAAGATAAATTGTTATTTTTTTTCAAAGGAGGGTATTTTAGTAAATGACAAAAAAAGTTAATTACGAGTAAGTGTTTGGATTGATCGGAATTTGAATTTGAATTTAAATCACATTCCTCATTTGAATACAGAAAAATACATGAAAATTTATTTCAAATTATAATTTTTTTATAATTTTAAATTCTCTCTACACTCTATTTATTTAAAATTTTAATAATTTCAAACATCACATTCTCTTAGCATTTTTATTCTTGATACTTCTATAACTCTTGTATTTTTTATCATTTCTTTTTGATTAAAAAATAGAAATAAAAACATCATTTTTTATTTTTTATTTTCATTTCATCCAAACAAAAAATTTTAAATGTGTCATTTGAAATACAAGATTTTAAATCTAAAATCTAAATCTAAGTCTATTAATCCAAACACTATCTAAGGTTATTTGCACATTTCATTGGACTTTTTGAAAACTTGAATCTATTTATGGGAGTATATGGGACCTCTGTATGATTTTTAAACCATATCATTCACGAGTAGTTTTGTTTATTCCTCAAATCACCTTCATACAAATGCACATGGCTTATCTAGTTGTTAATATATATATATATATATATATATATGCTTTGCTAAATTTTTAGTTTTTAGACAAATTCTCCTTCTAATCAAAGTTTGGGGTAAGCTTTAAAGTCATTTTATATATTTCTAATTATTAATTTGTTACATCACCCAGATTATTTAAAAAATCAAATCATGAGGTAATCGTGCTAACATGCACATGGCACCATTTATGTTTATTTTATTTTGACTTGACTTAACTTAGATTTAATTTGATTTTGATTTGGCTGTTGAATAATCCACTAAATGATTATACAACATCCACTTGCATGTTACTTAATATAATCATGGATTATCGTTTTACGTAATGATTATTTAATTAAATAAAATATAATACTTATCGTATGAACTGGACTAAATTTAGAAGCAAAACAAATCCAAATGATGATAGCTTGCTTTCGTACGATGAAGATGGAAAAAGAAACCAAACAACTATCAAAGCTAAACCCCAAATTCCTTTATCCATATTGTAGTCTCCGTCAATTCGATTCTATTATCAATATTAGGCAGAATTAATTTGCAAGTCTTTATAATTTTTTTCAATTTTAATTAAATTCATGTAATTTATTTTATTTTAATAAAGCCCTTATAGTTTGATGTACTAAATATGTTAATCCTTACAGTTAAAAACTAATAATAAATTATTAAATTTTCAAATAAAAATACTCTTAGAGTTTTAAAAAAATTTAATTTAATACTTTTATTAAAAATAAAAAAGATTGATTTCATGTGTTGTTTGAATTTTTATTAATTTTTTATGAAAATTCTATTAGGATAAAAAAATTTAAAAACAATTTAATTGTATAAATTTTAAGTTATAAAGATTATGTAATTAATTTTAAAGTTATAAAATCATTTAATAAAAATATGAGGTTGGTAATTTTCTTTAAAATAATAAGTAAGGATTTTAATTTTTAGGGATTGAAAAATTTAACAGATTAAACTATAAGAACTCAATTAAAATAAAATAAATTACAAAAACTTAATTCATAATTGAAGAAAACTATAAGGACTTGCAAATATATTTTTCTTAATATTTACTCCTACCGCTCTTCAAAATAAAGTGAAGTTAATCAACTTTGTGTTGATTAATAAATATTAGTTTTCATTTTATTATATAAAAAAATATAGGTTTTTAATTTTACTATTCTTTATAGTTAATAATCATAATAAATTATTATATAGGAATTTAAGCAATAATAATAAATTAAAAAGAGATAAAATAATTAGTTCAAAACCTTGATGTATTCACATTTAATGTCCAGATAAAATAGTGTGCATGATTATTCCCCGCAGTCACTTGACTCAATGGTACCAGGTTCAGCCTCAACTTTGTTATGTAGGAAAGGTTGGAGGATCGAACCTAAAGAGGCTCTCCGCAAGGAGAATAATCCTGCACATTACTACGGGAAAGCCTTTGTCTCCTGATGCTCACCGTAAGGGGTGGGGTCGCACTATTGTGGGGCCTGGGGGGAGAGTGTCCAGCACCGCAAAAGACCTCAGGTAGGCGGGGTGAGCAGAGGGCTGTTACATGCAACCAAAGCTTCTATGTGGGAGAGTGCTCTACTTTAAAGTTCATTAAAGACAACGCTGACATAAAACTCTCACTCGCAATGTAAGATCTCACACATAAGGGTGAGACTTGCATCCATTATTTTGAAGGGTACATGTATGTACTTTACAAGTGGGCACGTGGCAGAAGTTTAATATAGTAAAGCTGTGAGAAATGCCTTCCTTATAGCAAAGGGCAATACTTTGCTAATGCACGCAAAGATTTAATCTCTCATGGATTTTATTGTGAGGGTAATTAGTACCCACATAGTGGACACAATACCATTTAATAATTTTCTCTTTTCATCATTACATAAATCAAGCTTTTAATTTAGGGTTAGATTATGTCATTTAATTTTGTTTTGCACTGTTTTGATGTCTTAGTGGTTTAGTTCGTCTCTAGTGTTTGGTTATCACGCACTTGTATTGCTGCTCTTAAGAAATATTTGAATTTTAACTATGATTTTTTTTAGGGTTTAGAACTTTCTATGTTTCATATATCACTTGAAACAAATACGTTACAAATGAGTATTAGAAATAACTTACAGGCTTAAGTTAGTGCCCGTTTGGTTTATTGGATTATAGGGAATGAAATGTAATGTAATGATGATTATATGTGTTTGTTTGTTATGTTATAAGATGAATATATTTTTTAAGAAAAAAATACCAAAAGAATGATGAAATGTCCTTTCTACCCCTAACCATAAAAAAAATTCCACCTATCTTCCTCCTTTTCCTGATGATGGCTATCCGACAATATCACCTTTAATCTGGAAAATTGATACCTCATGCTAGTACAGAGCACACAAAGCAACATAATCAAACCTAGAAACCCACCATCTAGAAAATTAACTCAAAGATAATTAGGAATGGTGGAAGATGCAAATGAGGAGATGAGATCTGAGAATGGAGGCGTGAGAGGGTGGCGGCGAGGTGGGCTTCGAACTAGCAATGACAAGGTGGGCTTGGGACAGATGATCTATCTTTAGCGTAGCAACCGTTAACGGTGGCAGGCCTAAGTCGTAGCGGCAATGATGAAGTAATGAAATTTGAAGGTGGACGAC